GCTTAATATGTCTACATCATATACCTAACATAATTTAGTAATTACCGTTGAGTAATTATTTATCATTAGTGGCTTTGCACTTCTTTCGGTTACCATATTCTATTTTTCCTTACAGTAGTTGTCTGGAAATGATCGTTTCAAAGCGATATGCCCGCCCGTTGGCCTTCTCATTATGTAAGTGTTCTTCTTATGTTTGGTCAAAGCACCAAGTCATTGTTTAGAAGCGCGGCATCCAAAATTAAACTAGCCATAATGATTGCCATCCTTCGCAAGGAGATGGCACTATAGGAAAAAGAACAAGTGTTCTTGTGATTGCACTGGATCTGTCGATTGTTAGTATCAAATAAACAAAGTATGTTTTTGTGTTTCATTCCTATCATGTGTTGCTATACAAATTGCTCGCAAGCTGGCTTCTGTTTGGGGTTGATCAGCAAATCAAGCCGCGCAAGTGGAACAGCCACTCCAAGAGATTTCAATCATATCCCAAAGAGCTTGATTGGAATGCTTGAAGATGGCGGAAACGTAGCAGTAACAAGCGACCCTACAGATGTTAAATATGCGAAAAGGGCTGGAATGACTTGGAGCGTAATAAAACGCGAGGTTCGATGTTGAGCACGATGATGGTTCACTATGCACCCTTTGACGCTTCCGGGAACATAGGATATTACACATGGAGTACTGTTCTCACCTCTGGGCGGGGCTCCCCAGTACCAGCTCTTTCCACTTGACCGTATTAAACGAAGAGCGGTTCGAATCGTCGACGACCAATCCTTCTCCGTGCGGCTTGATCCCTGGCTTTGCGTGGAGATGTGGAGTCACTCTGCATCTTTTACCGAATTTACCATGGGGAGTGTTAAGAGGAGTTGTTCGGATTAATACCTGCAGCTGAGTTTCATCATCGGACTTCGAGACAGAATACGAAATTCCACCCGTATCTCCTCGACGTCCGCCGTTTCACAACTGAGCGTTTCTTAAGGCAGTTTTTGCCGCGCACCACCACTATGTGGAACCAGCTGCACACTGAATTATTTCCGAACCAATTCGACTTAGGGTCCTTCAAGAAAAGAGCGTACCAATTCTTAAACGGCCGACAACGGCAGCGAGTCCTCTGGCATTGAGAGTGTCTATGGGCGGCGGTATCACTTAACAGCAGGTGAGCATCCTGCCCGTTTGCCCCGTTGATTCAATGGTTGAGCAGTGTTGGTCTAGTGGTCTCAAAGTGCGACCCATACAGAAATCTAAGATTCAGACCTACAAGTTTGTAAGCGCCAGTGGTTTTTAAAAAAATTTGGTTTCGTTCTACATAGGGTTCTACCCAAGATGTGTTTGTCTGCAGAATCGAATATCATCTTATAAAATTCGGTTTCTAAATGTAACCAGTTAGACGAATGAAATACTTACTAGTATTCGGACGTACAAGCGAAGATAGTTTTATTTAAAACCTCATTACTTAATCTTGACGCATGTCTTACCACGTTTTAATTATTAGGCTTTTGTTCGTTCCCTCACTAGGACGTATACGTAGTCTAGATAACAATAACTTTGCGGCTTGGTTAAGACCTAACCGCTTCATTAAGCTTCGAACCGTAACTTAAGGTTTAATTAAAATCAGCTCAGGCCGCTTTGAACCTGATTTTTGCTTGCTTTTTGGATGCTAGACGGAAATTGTAATAAAACTCTTGGAAAATTCATAAAATCTCTTTTGAAAAGGCTTAAAAAATATTTTATAATTTGTACATATGCTGAGGAATCAGGTGGAATTCGTCTTAGAAGTAATGGTTCTATCTAAAAACATATTTTTGGTGTGGATATTCCATTTATCGAAGGCTTAATAAGGCATTCGATATTGCTTGAAGATCTTTAGTAAGCAGGCCGTCTGCCCATCTTCTACTTGACACCTGTCAGTCTTCTCATGGATACCAATCTAATTCGCCTATTAACCATTTCTCTGTTTAAGTTCTTATTATGTCGGGTACATAACTAAAAGGTAAAACATTGTTTATGATAGCCACAATAATCTCTTGAAACACAAAGTGTGGTGACAGAAAAAGAAATTGATGAAGCTTATTCTGACTCCATGTATATGATGAGGGGGATTAATGAAAGTAAAAGTACGAGTAACAGTCCCTTTCTGTTCAAATTGCGTTTACGCTGTGATAAAAAAGACAGATAAATACATTCCCTAAAGCAGTACAGTTAAACTAATTTATTTCTTAAGTTTCTACTTTGTAATAAGACAAAATACATTGTCGATTATCCAGTGTAAGCATAAACCCGTATCAAGTAACTTTCGTATTTATAATATTCGTTAGGATTAGGGCTGACCGGTTCGCTAAGCTGAAGAAAACATAAGACTTAGTATAAGAACCTTATGACTAACAATGTTTCTTTATATATTTTTATCAAATATTAATGAGACTTTTTCATATTTTAGTTTTTTAAGTGCAACTTCTTTAGGCGCATGAGGGTAAAGTTTTTACGGAACCTCACGAAGATGTGCGGCGTTTTTGTAGAAGAAAAGGGAGAGAGCGATTGTGACCGATTAAGAGAGAGTGAGAAGGGTGAATTACCTTTTAGAAATTCTATTTTTAAAATTAAAATTTCGTAAAGAGATTTAAGAAAAAGAGAACTTTATAGGTATTTTATGCCATGTGTTTTTATTATTGAAGAAATAAATTTAAAAAATTAAATTTATTATTTGTATTAATTATCGACACTTTTAATGATAATTAAATTCATTAAAATCCTAACATATCTTCCTTTTTCCCTCCCTCTTAGATAAGTTTTGATTTTTAACAATACAATCTCAATGTTTCCCATATGAAGTTTTGTGTGTAAAAGTATTATTTCTCTCAGAAAAATGTTTAGTGTTAGTGTTTTAACTATTTTATGTGGCAAATTATCTTGACATGAGTGATAAACGTTATAATATGTATAACGAAGCGCGTATTTCGTTTGAATCTGATGAATCTGGGTTATTGGACATTAAGAAACTACTATGTGGAACCAGCTACGCACAGAAGTATTTCCAAACCAATTCGACTTAGGGTCTTTCAAGAAAAGAGTGTACCAACTATTAAATGGCAAGGCCGCGAGCATTCGGGCATTGAGAGTGCCCATGGGCGGTATCACTTAACATCAGGTGAGCCTCCTGCCCATTTACTCCCTTTATATAAAAATAATGTCTCATTAGAAATTTTTCTAGTTACATACGATATTTGGGTCTATTTTATTACCTATTACGTAACACAAGAGATATATTTGCATAAATATTTAATCATAGTGTTTATATGCCAATCTTCTAGATTTCATCTGTTCTATTTGGATCTATATTGGGATTTTTAATTGTTATATAATCTGTAGAAACTTAATTAATACATTTGTACGAAAATTAAAGGTTTCTCATAACTTTACTGCTCAAAGCACATATAAAATTATATGTAAAAATAAGTTACTTAAGTAAAGAAAGTATGGTGGAGAAACATACTATAATATTCACACGCAATAAATATTAGAATAGATGCAGTGATTGCGCGCAGGTGTAAGCGTGGGGAGAGACTATAACTTTCTTATATTTCCTTTCCTTTGGGACATTATAGACCCTAGTGGGCATTTCCGCTGTCTGTCCGACTTAATACGTACAACGCCACAAAAATATGGTACACAAAAAAGGCTGGGTTTAGGTGATAGTAAAATAATATAATCTTTGATCTACGCAAATAGATATTTTAACAATTTTGCAACAATCGAGATATTAGCGAGAGAGCAGTGTTGGCTTAGTGGCTTCAGCATGCGACTCTCATCCCTGAGGTCGATCCCTGGCTGTGCTCCAATGGACTTTCTTTCTATGTGCATATTTAACATTCGCTCGAACGGTGAAGGAAAACATCGTGAGGAAACCGCCTTGCCCTAGATCCAAAAAGTCGACAGCGTGTGTCAGGCACAGGAGACTGATCACCTACTTGCTAAATAGATTGAAAAATGATCATAAAACAGACACAGAAATCTGAGGCCCAGATCTAAAAACGTTGTAGCGCTATTGATTTATTTTAGTTTTTTAGATCTAGATATCTCTCGAATTAGCAACAATATTATATTACATTATTTCAATAAGAAATTAGAAGAACCGAATTGGTCTAATGGCTTGAGCTTGTGCCTGTCTACCTTAAAGGTCGTGCGTTCGAATCTCGGCTGTGCACCAATGGATTTATCATTCTATGTGCGCACTTATATATATATACTCGTACAGTGACAGAAACATCGTAAGGAAACCGGCATCAGGCACTGAAGGACGATCACCTATTTACCAGTTAAGAAAAATAAATGATCCAGAAACAGATACAGAAATCTGAGGTCAGGCCAGACCTAAAAGGTTTTAGCACGGTCTTTTTGGTACAATATCAAATAGTTATTTGTCAACTCGGTGTGACAGCGTCTCGCTGACGACTGCTGAAAAGCACTTAAAACGTTAACTTATGTAAGAATATTCAGTAGTTCGCACGGCTGGATATTTATTTAATATAATAGAAGTATGCTATCGCGGACTTTTAGTGTTATTTATTTCTTCTATTATCACTTTGCTCTATTGTCAATAGTTTCTACAGCGCAATAAATATACAGATTTGTATTCACACCTTGGAATACATTATCGAAAAAATCGGCCCAGTAGTTGGAGCCCATTCAATGCAAACAATCAAATCATTCCTCTTTATAATATTAGTGAAGATGTAATCGTGGAATCGTGGAATCGTGGAAGATTTAAATAGTTTTATGCTTTCCGTTTATTTTACTTTGATAACCGGGGGAAATGAAAGCCGTCCCACTAACACCGAATTATTATGACCAAAATCTTTTAACATATACAAATACAAAACGACATTGAAAGCGTTGTATTTTAGTCAAACATTCTTAACACAAACTTATTCGTAGAAACGTGTCACGCCTAATTACTATTGTAATAAATTTTATGTATTATTAAAAAAAAATGGTGGTTAATAAAAATGACAGTCATATGTTTACTTTCTAATGCTTTTCAACTAAAAGAACCTGAAATCATTGATATGAAGTACAAGTTCTTCAATACATGTCAGAATATTGAAGTTGTTCTACATTTATTGAAAGAAGCGCTTCAAAAGCGAGATATAGCTAAGTTCCAGGAACAAAATATGAGTGATTGTCACACAAGTGATGCGCTCGAAGCCCTACGAGGAAAGGGCGTAAGGGAGGGACCCCCTCGCCGCCATTATCGATTGCCCTAGATGAGAGCAGGCCGGAAGTAATGATAGAACGAGATACAACCAACTGCCCACAGATCTGGCGACTCCACTGCCAACTGTAATGCACTACACAAATATTGAGATAACATTTTGTCATACAATATTTTTAATAGCTCTCATTTTAAATTAGGAATCGATTGTATTCGAAATTTGAACTTCAATTAGACACTTGTCAAAGTAAAGTTCCACTTGTGGCGGTGACACGCTTATATCTGGGTAATGGCTTCCTCAATCTCAGCGTCAAAGTTCTCATAAGACGCTGTTAACTAAGGCGTTGAGGAAGATAGTTAGAGGTCTTCAACGGGGGATATAACTTGGCCGAAACTTGAACGATCGCTACCCATCGGACGTCAATTTGATGACAATCCGTCATTAACTTTACCCGTTCGTTTTAAAACTTTACGCTGAGGATATTTTTATTCTTAAATGTTGGAATCAATTAAATTTAAATATACAAAAGAATACACAATCACTTATCCTAAGTTTTATTATTGTTTTTAATCGCGGAAAAACTTTAATTTGCAATCAATTATTATTTCAAAAACATAGATCAGTGCCACAAAATTAGGCTGTGCCTTAGATTTCTGTATGTTTCATGATGATTTGTCAATCTTATAGGCAAGTAGGTGATCGGACTTCTGTGCCTGACACGTGTCGACTTTTTGGTTCTAAGTCAAGTCAGTTTCCTGACGATATACTATACCGTTCGAGCGAATGTTAAATGCGCAGATAGAAAGAACGTCCATTGGTGCACAGCCGGGATTCGAACCCACGACCCACACTGAAGCCAATACTGTAATCAATTATTACATAGCTAAATTATTTTTCAATTAACGCAGATAAGTTTTGAATTTATTTATAAGGCGCTTATAAAACTATCTTCTTCCGTCGTGTTCTTATATAACTCATAAAATACAAAGATTAGCAATAAAGTGCGAAGTTCATCATAAAGTTGAGTTCCTAAGCCTCGGCTTTGAAAGCAGTTCATCATCAGTTATATTGATTTTGCGATAAAACGTCCGACAGTGAAGTAAATTGTGATAGAATCTGAGCCGACGCTCACATCCAATGATAATAAAGTGTAAAAAGAGTCGTCGTTTTAATGCTCGCTTTATGGCTGCCTCCGCTTCGTGGGGCTCTGAATGCGTTCAAATACATATAGCCTGCTAAAATGCTTCATAAATTTCCGTACCGCTTTAAAATCGGTAACAACACCACAATGTATAATTTACTTAGCTTCATATCTAATATTTTTGGAATATGATGGAGCATATATTTACCATACCTATGCAAAATAATAGTGATCTATTTTCATTTATTTTATTTTATTTATTTTATTTTACAATTTTAGGGAAACTTACAGCTAAAAAAGGTTCAATAATATACAATTAATATAATGACGGCCGATTATCAGTTTCCACACTTACACATTATCACATACTTACACACCAATGCTCAAAAAACTCTCAAGGCTATATTAAAATCTAAATCTCAAAGTATCGATCACAAAGGGCTTTCTTCGTTGCAGTAACACTTGTGCAGAACAAATCCAAATTAAGCTCCCGACATGCCACATTAAAAGAACGACATGCTCGCAATAGGTAAGAATTTTTTACCTATTGCGAGAATATTATTAATACCTATTGTAAGAATTTAAAAATATTAATTTTTATAAGAAACAGTTATATTTCTTTTAAACCTAGCATATTTCTTTTCGTGTAAGTATTGTTCTGTTCACTGTTTACATGTGTTTTAATTGATTTGGTTTGTCTATATGTTCATCGTAGTATTATTTTTGCACTTCTTTCGCTTGCTTTATCTATTATTTTTTTCACATTGGTTTCCTGGAAGCGATCGCTCGAAAGGCCGCCAGTTGCCCTCCTTTTCATATAATTATGTCAACTGTATGCAACGAAGTGTTAGTAAATAAATATATTTTCATTACTTAAAACCTTAATTATTTTAGTTTAGGAATTGTACAATACTCGTAATTGTAGTTTTGTTGTTTTACTTTCTCCATATTATTTTTTTCTTTCGTAATCATTTAAAATATCCGTTCTATTAATAAGAACTTATTCGCGTCCACGTGGCTTCAACACTATATAAGCCTTAGACCTTTAATATGTAATTATTAATTTATATGACAGGTGTCTCTACGATAGTTAAATTTGTTTTTGTTTTTACTGTTTCTTTGCTAGTTTTAATTTTTTATGTTCTAATATTGATGAGAATGTATGTTAAATTAGTGACGTCACATTATCTTATATCTTTTAAGCATCATGTATGCTCAATAAAACAAAAGAAAAACAGAAAACAACTTGTGCGACCTACGATCCTTAAACCAATAGGCCAACACTGTTTCTTACTATTTAATATAGCTACTAAAACTTGATTCATTTAAGGGCAGGGCGATCCCATGGTTTTCCTTTAAGACGCACATTCTCGGAAGCTATTAAAATTTTACGAGTGAACTGGCGAAATGAATGCCAGAATTAGGTTAAGGGCCGCTGTAGGTTCTTAGGACATCTGCCAGCTTTATTGTACAATTTATTGAGATATAAACTGTAACAATACTCTTTTTACTTTCGTAAATTATATTAGTTTCATACCTTTACGATTCTGTATATTTTAGTAAGGTTTAAGAATAACTTTATATAAGAATTGCATACAAATTCACTTACTGAGAAACAATATTTAAAACTAAGATTAAAAATTAGAAATTAGAGCGCACCGTTGTAGGTACATATATAAAATAACAAAACAAAACAGAAACAAAAATGTGGGTAGACATAATAAACTTGATTAGTCAACCAAGCAAAACACAGATGTTCGAATTTGATTTTTTACTAGATGTAGCATTGATGGCATAGTCTGATATAGCAAGTTTATATTGATTATTTTATTATTTTTCATAACACTTTTATTTTTAGTTTATTGTTTTTGTCAATATATATATACATATTATATTTTTAATCACTTATTTGTATGTATTAATTGTGTGAGTTTTTAGAAGCTTTTTAAACTGGGCATAACTTTGTTCTCCTTTTATAACTGACACCGCTTACACCTTACTCTATATAGTCGATGGAATAATTACCAAATATAACTTTCGAACCACAAGTAGTATATTTTGAATTAGGAACACTATCTGTGATATTTTAAAAATGGAACATCTCGTTTGAATTACGGAAAGTGTCACTACCTTTCCGCGGCTTTCTTTGAATTTTATATTCTAAGCACGCAGCCTGTTCATTCGCGTATAACAAGATATTGTGATTCCAAGCTATTACGATATACCATAATGTTATATCCGACGTATGAATACCTAGCACGTTATAATACTTTCTTATTAAAGTACGGTTTTCGAATAATAAATATATTGGCCTTCACATTATGTTATTACTTTCCGAATGAAATATTGGCAAATAAAGGCATTAATGACAACTTTTTGAAGTTATACTTCTTTAGGCGCGTTATGAAAAATTGATGAGAGTGAAATTTTACGATGCGCACGCACCGTGACACAAAATTAACAGAATGAAGTTGCCCACGGAATATGCTACGGCATTGGACATAATTTAAAAACAACATACGAATAATAATAGAATTTATGTTACACTTAATGTAAGAGAATAATAATATATATTTATTTATTTAAATTTTCAAATGTAAACTGAACTTGACTATAATGACTCCTTTTCCAGTCTTTGATTATTTAATTGTAATTAATTATTTGCATGCAATCAAAAACTATTTTTAATTATGCCAAAGAAGTATAACTTCTTACGCGCGTACCTACATAAGTACACGCACCCTTATTTTAATTTATAAGAAAATGCTAATATTATATATTGTCCTTACAATTATTTCAGTTAAGTTTATTTTATATACTTAACTGAAACACATGAAAAAGAAAAAATGCACATAAATCACGATAAATTCAGATCAGTTAGTATGACAGTTAGGGTAATGCTTTATACGATGTGGACAGGTAATGCTTGTACAGTAGAGATTTAAAGGAAGATAGAGAAGGAATATGGGTCCATTTCATTTCCGAACAGTTGCACTTAGGTACTCGCGAGACGGACTTGAGAAGAGCGTTCCACATTATAGGCCAGCAACGTTCTTGCTTATGTTGTAAGTTAAACATAGGTAAACACTTAAATAACTAACCTGGTAGTTTCCCAAATGTTGCATATAAAAAAAATAACTATACAAAGCGATTGAATTTGTTTGTTTCGGAGATTTTTTAAAATTACATTACTGAAACTTAACATTACGGGGTAATGACCTGCAACGAAGTTCATTAATATTCAAAAATAATTAAATTTAAGTCCCCCTACATATACCTAAAGGTGTCAGACACCACTCACCCCCAGATAGGGGTGAAATCTTACTCGAAGCTCAGATTAAAATTAAATTTCAGATATCAAACCCTGATTATTATAACATTCATTCCGGACACAAAAATCTATAGAACTGGTAGTAACAAATATACTTAGCATAAAGCTGTTTTTCAAAGCAATCTGAACTAAATAATACAATAATATAAAAAAAAAATATGACTGAAAACCTAACTATTTTGTATACATATTCCTATCGAGTAAACTATACGAATACGTTTACGATAGCGTTTGTAATCCTTCGCTAAAAATCAATCGTTATATGAGTAAAAGAGGATAATAAGGAGACATATCCGGCTAATCCCTGACTATATAGGAAGGTAGGACAGAATACTTAAATCGGTTATCAATACCGTAAGTAGATGTAGCGAGTGGAAACGTGAACATATGGATTTAGGTTTAAGATTTTTGTAATGAGGAAAATCCTTACAAAAATTTTATTTCCATAAATTATATGTGAAGGGAACTCAGTAGAGGCCTTTTGACGGATATAATTGGGTTTTTGAAAAAAAAATTTTTTTGTGATAAATGAAAAGATCATATAAAAGTTTTATAACAAAACTATTTTTGTTTTATTTT